ACAGCATGGCTTCACCAAATTGAGAAATCATGAGTAAAAAAATGTAAAATATCGAGGTGAGTTCTAGAATACCTACTATACATGAATAGGAATTAGAGTAGAGAAAATAAAGAAAATTAAGGAGAAGCACTAACCAAAGGGATGGGAATACCAGACCACCTTACCTATCTCTATAGAAACCTCTGTGTGGGTCAACAAGCAGCAATTGGAACTGGACATGAATAACTGACTGGTTCAAAATTGGGAAAGGAATGCCACAAGGCTGTATATTGTCACTTGGCTTATTTAACTTGTATGCAGAATGCATCATGTGAAATGCCAACGCGGATAAATCACAAGCTGGAATCAAGATCACCAGGAGAAATACTAACAACTTTAGATATACAGATGATAACCACTCTAATGGCAGAAAGTGAGGAGGAACTAAAGGACCTGAATGATGAGTGTGAAAGAGAAGAGTGAAAAAACTGGCTTGAAACTCAATGTTCAAAACTCTTAAGATCATGGCATCCAGTCCAATCACTTCATGGTAAATAGATGGGGAAAAAGTGGAAGCAGTAAAAGATTTTATTTTCTTGGGCTCCAAAATCACTGCAAATGGTGACTGTAACCATGAATTTAAAACATGCTTGCTCCTTGGAAGGAGAGATATGACAAACCTAGACAGCATTATTAAAAAAGCAGAGACATTCCTTTGCTGACAAAGATCCATATAATCAAAGCTATGGTTTTTCCAGTAGTTGTGTATGGATGTGAGATTTGGACTGTAAATTTAGGCTGAGTGGCAAAGAATGTTGATGTGTGGTGCTGGAGAAGACTTTTTTTTTTTTTTTTTTTTGGAGAAGACTCTTGAGAGTCCCTTGAACTTCAAGAAGATCAAATCAGTCAATCCTAAAGAAAACCCACCTTGAATATTCATTGGAAGGATTGGTGCTGGAGCTGAAGGTCCAAAATTTTGGTCACCTGATGTAAAGAGCTGATTCATTAGAAAAGACCCTGATGCTGGGAAAGATTGAAGGAAAAAAAGAAGGGGGTGGCAGAAGATAAGACTGTTAGATATCATCTAGGCTCAATAAACATGAATTTGAGCAAACTCCAGGAGATAGTGGAGTACTGGGGAGCCTAACATGCTGCAGTCCATGGAGTCGCAGAGTTGTACACAATTTAGCAACTGAACAGCAGCAGCAGTAATCCAAGAAATAATGAGAAAAAGTATAGTTCTGAATATGGGACAAAATCTGTGAAAGATCTATGTATATTTTATTTAAAATTTTTAATTTCATACCTATTGTCATGGGAAAAAGAAAAATAAAAAGTATTTATACTTCAGATGAGTTTTTTTGTATATAAGAAGTCAAGTAGGTGGAGGTGTTGGCAATTGTGGAATGTTGAAGTAGAGTAAAAAGCATGGCAAAGCCACAGAGGTGATGTTAAATGCAGTTAAGTGACAAGTGATTTAGTGTTCTTAGGGTTTAGAAGGCATGCTTGGGCATGACAAATGATGCTGGAATCAAAAATACGGTTAATAGAGCAAAGGGAGTTACATGTAATACTAAGAATATAGCACAGTATGTTGTAAGATTTGGGGGAAATATTTAAAGATTTTAGATGACATGATTTTCATTTTAGAAAAAAAGTCCTATATTCTGTAATTTTGGATTGGAGGGAAATTGCATGTAGGGAAATTAGAGGAAAGTATATTGTTCGGACCCTAGTTTATTAGAGCTGATTTAATAAATTGGTGGCACATATAGATTATAGGGAACAGATTGAAGAGAGATGTTTTTGATAGAACTAAGTGATTCAGTAGATGGAAAGGAGGAGAGACAAAGTTTATTTTGTTGACAAGGTGGAAAATAATTTTAATGATTCTATCTGTAATGTGGTGTGAAGTATAGATTGTGGGTGTTTTCAAATGGGAAGAATTATTTCAGTTTTTGACATATAAGTAGACAAATGAAACTAGAAGTTCATTTTATAGGTTTGTAATCTAAGAGATAATTCTTGCCAGGAGATATATAGGATAATCAGCATATGTGAAATAGTAAGATATGGCAAGGAAGGTGATCATTCAAAGAAACTTAGCAAAGAGAAGTGAAAAAAGAAGCAAACCTACATTATACTCTATTTAAATAGTTATAGAAAAAGAAGAAACAGGAAAATAGACTGAAAAATAAAAATCCAAAAGGTAGAAAAATTAGTATGTTACTATAGCCAAGTAAGAGTTAAGTTATAAGAATAGGTTGACATTGCCACAGCAAGCTTGGAGACCAGTATGACAGTGTGCAAGTGTCTGTTACTTAGTGATTTAATAGTCAACTGATACTTGAATGCCAGTTACAGACTAGATAGCTTACTTACTCATAGAGATTCAGCATAAAGAAAGAAGTGTTACACTTGGTGAGTTTATGTTGCAGTATGAAAGAAAGACCAATAATTGCTTTATAGCATAAGCTTATCAAATAAAATAACAAATAAGGACTTAAGAAGAGACTTTTTCAAAAGGATTATCTCAAGGGAGGGATAAGGGTTATTGCAATAGGCAAATGAATATTATTGCAATAAGGAGAATGCTTCTGTTAAGGTCTGTAGCTTCTTAAAGGTGATATTGTGCCTTAAAGGCTGAAAAGAAGTTTTCTTTTAGAGGAGGGATTAAGGCTAGAAAGAAATGGTGTGGCTAAGTAGAATGGAAAGACACTGATGCTAGGAAAGATTGAGGGCAAGAGGAGAAAGGGGTGACAGAAGATGAGATGGTTGAATGGCATCATTGACTCAATGGACATGAGTTTGAGCAAGCTCTGGGAGATGGTGAAGGACAGGGAAGACTGGTGTGCTGCAGTCCATAGGGTTACAAAGAGTCTGACATGACTGAGCGACTGAACAACAAAAAAGTAAGGTGAGGGGAAGTGGCATGATCTGACAATAGAGCAGAAAATATTTTCGCCTTCCCTAGGGGCTCAGTTGGTAAAGAATCTGCCTGCAATGCAGGAGACCAAGGTTCAATCCCTGGGTCGGGAAGATCCCCTAGAAAAGGAAATGGCAACCCACTCCAGTACCCTTGCCTGGAGAATTCCATGGACAGAGGAGCTGGGCAAGGAATCTTCTTGTCCATGGGCTCACAAAGAGCCTGACATTTTACCCTGAGAGGAATCCATTTCATGGTAAACTATTAAGGAGGGGTTAAGTGCTGGCTCAGGCAGAGGGTGGGGCAAAATTCAGGCTACTAGGAGAGAGTCTTACCCAGAAGGCATTTTATTCAAACTGCTCAGTGTAAACAAAGTAGTTCCACTAATTTTTAATAGGCAAAGAGTGGGGATATAGAGAATGTGTGTTGGGGCCTTGTCAAAGATGAACAAGAGGGACATCCATAGGTATAATCTAAGTAATATGATGGAAGAATTCTTCTTTGTATTAAATTTTCCTGAAGCAAAGGGATAAGGAAGTTTCTTAACCTTCATTGTTTTCCAGGATCCCTGAAAAACAAGGCTGTTTTACAGGGCTTACATAAAATTGAACATTGCCAAGTGTAACAAATAACACAGGATAATATTGTAGAAAGGTATTAAACTCAGATCAAAGTCAAGAAAGGCTTCTTGGAGGAAAGGACTGAGTCAGCAAAAGACTAAGATAATGAGACAAGAAATTGAGAAGTGCAGTCAAGAAACGGGAATGGCATGCAAAAAGCATGGAGGTTTTTCAGGCCATTTTCAGAAATATAAGTGGTTGGATTTTTCCAGAATGGAAGGTATTATATTTAGTGTGAAGGAAGGCAATACTGTGAAGGTAAGAAGGGACTAGATCAAGGATTTTGTATGCCAAGTCAGGAAATTTGTAACTAATGTTTCAATGCTAAATCAGTGAAATATATTAAGCAGAAATGCCATATGATCAGTTTTGCATTTTGAAAGTCATACTGCATTAGTGCATATTATGATTTGGAAGGAGTAGGGAATATGGATTATTTATGCTATCAGGACATTTTTACTAGGTTAGAGAAGTGATAAAGAGATTCAGAAAAGCAATGATGGAGAACAGAAGAAGAGAGAGAGAGAGATCAGATATTTCAGACGTAGAATATACTGGAGCTAGCAACTTTTGGATGTAAAGAAGTAAGAGAAAAAGAGAGCCTGGGATGGTTCAGGGTTTCTGGATTAGGTTTGTGTGGGCAGTACCACCATTCACTAAGAGCGTGTGAGAAAGCAAGTTGAGGAGGAGGATTCATATTTGGGCAAGTTGAGTTTATAGGCATATCTCATTTTATTGTGCTTTTTTTATCACAAATTGAAATTGGTGGCCACCCTGCATGGAAAAAGTAGTAAGTGCTATTTTTAGGGGGTGGCCAGCATTTACTCACTTCGTGTCTCTGTGTTATGTTCTGGTAATTCTCACAATATTTCAAAGTTTTTCATAATTATATTTCATTATTATATATTTATGAGGATATAGGGAGTCTGTGGTTCCAAAATTTAAAAATATATAGGACCGCATATCTTAGAGATAATTTCTTTAAAGATAGTATAGAAATCTTTCCCCCAGGGAATGTACTGTCTTCCTGTAAAGTATCTAGTTAAGATTCAACAAAATTTTGAACTACCGCAAGTTGTTTTATAAATCCAACATACATCAGTTTCATCTATGATGATTCACAGAATACTTTTAAAGGTCTTTGGATATCTATTTATGCTCCTACCTTTCAGAGATCAACATGATTATGGGAAAAATTTTATACCTATGATAGCAGATAAAAGAATCTAGAATGGAAAAAGTTATCTTCATTGATCTTGAATTTTGTGTAAAGATTTGAAATTATTTTGTGCTACTAATTATTGATCTTATGAGCTAATAAAAATAGATTTGAAAAATGTATATGTTACTTAAGTATTATGTGTGTAAGACACCTGTGAATGTTTTAATAGTTTGTACCATCAGACTACCAATTTAAAATATCTTTTGGAAATACTTTCATGAAATATGAATTTTAAGTAATTTTCTTTATACAGGGATCAACCTATGAAGATGAAATTGATAATATCAAATACATTATTTCAAAAATTAATGAAATTCTGGCTCATAACTCACCAGTTTTGATTATTCAAAGATGGACACGTGGTTTCTTAGTTAGGAAAAAAATGAGGTATGTTTTATTTTATTCACTATTATTAATATTGTTTTAATATTAATTAATTTTAATTAATATAATTAACATGAATTAATTAATATTAATTAATATTAATTATTAATAAATAATTTAATATTTAATATAGATATTAAAAGATCATTGACAAAGGTCATTTCTGTAATAATATGAATTTTTTCACTCATTCAAAATATCATTTATTAATAGAACATCTATATTTAAATAGGCTTAATTAATTTTTTTTTATTAGTTGGAGGTTAATTACTTTACAATATTGCAGTGGTTTTTGCCATACATTGACGTGAACCAGCCATGGATTTACATGTGTTTCCCATCCCGATCCCCCCTCCCATCTCCCTCTCTGCCCGATCCCTCTGGGTCTTCCCAGTGCACCAGGTCTGAGCACTTGTCTCATGCATCCAAACTGGGCTGGTGATCTGTTTCACCCTAAATAATATACATGTTTTGATGCTGTTCTCTTGAATCATCCCACCCTCGCCTTCTCCCACAGAGTCCAAAAGTCTGTTCTATACATCTGTGTCTCTTTTTCTGTTTTGCATATAGGGTTATCGTTACCATCTTTCTAAATTCCATATATATGTGTTAGTATACTGTAATGGTCTTTATCTTTCTGGCTTACTTCACTCTGTATAATGGGCTCCAGTTTCATCCATCTCATTAGAACTGATTCAAATGAATTCTTTTTAATGGCTGAGTAATATTCCATGGTGTATATGTACCACAGCTTCCTTATTCATTCGTCTGCTGATGGGCATCTAGGTTGCATCCATGTCCTGGCTATTATAAACAGTGCTGCGATGAACATTGGGGTGCATGTGTCTCTTTCAGATCTGGTTTCCTTGGTGTGTATGCCCAGCAGTGGGATTCCTGGGACATATGGCAGTTCTATTTCCAGCTTTTTAAGAAATCTCCACACTGTTTTCCATAGCGGCTGTACTAGTTTGCATTCCCACCAACAGTGTAAGAGGGTTCCCTTTCCTCCACACCCTCTCCAGCATTTATTGCTTGTAGACTTTTGGATAGCAGCCATCCTGACTGGCATGTAATGGTACCTTATTGTGGTTTTTATTTGCATTTCTCTGATAATGAATGATGTTGAGCATCTTTTCATGTGTTTGTTAGCCATCTGTATGTCTTCCTTGGAGAAATGTCTGTTTAGTTCTTTGGCCCATTTTTTGATTGGGTCATTTATTTTTCTGGAGTTGAGCTGGAGTTGCTTGTATATTTTTGAGATTAATCCTTTGTCTGTTGCTTCGTTTGCTATTCTTTTCTCCCAATCTGAGGGCTGTCTTTTCACCTTGCTTACAGTTTCCTTTGTTGTGCAAAAGCTTTTAAGTTTCATTAGGTCCCATTTGTTTATTTTTGCTTTTGTTTCTAATATTCTGGGATGTGGGTCATAGAGGATCCTGCTGTGATTTATGTCAGAGAGTGTTTTGCCTATGTTCTCCTCTAGGAGTTTTATAGTTTAGATCTTTAATCCATTTTGAGTTTATTTTTGTGTATGGTGTTAGAAAGTGTTCTAGTTTCATTCTTTTACAAGTGGTTGACCAGTTTTCCCAGCACCACTTGTTAAAGAGGTTGTCTTTTTTCCATTGTGTATCCTTGCCTCCTTTGTCGAAGATAAGGTGACCATAGGTTCGTGGATTTATCTCTGGGCTTTCTATTCTGTTCCATTGATCTATATTTCTGTCTTTGTGCCAATACCATACTGTCTTGATGACTGTGGCTTTGTAGTATAGTCTGAAGTCAGGCAGGTTGATTCCTCCAGTTCCATTCTTCTTTCTCAAGATTCCTTTGGCTATTCGAGGTTTTTTGTATTTCCATACAAATTGTGAAATCATTTGTTCTAGTTCTGTGAAAAATACCATTGGTAGCTTGATAGGGATTGCATTGAATCTGTAGATTGCTTTGGGTAGTATAGCCATTTTGACAATATTGATTCTTCCAATCCATGAACACGGTATATTTCTCCATCTGTTTGTGTCCTCTTTGATTTCTTTCATCAGTGATTTATAGCTTTCTATGTATAAGTCTTTTGTTTCTTTAGGTAGATATACTCCTAAGTATTTTATTCTTTTTGTTGCAATGGTGAATGGTATTGTTTCCTTAATTTCTCTTTCTGTTTTCTCATTGTTAGTGTATAGGAATGCAAGAGGTTTCTGTGTGTTAATTTTATATCCTGCAACTTTACTATATTAGCTCTAATAATTTTCTGGTAGAGTCTTTAGGGTTTTCTATGTAGATGATCATGTCATCTGCAAACAGTGAGAGTTTCACTTCTTCTTTTCCTATCTGGATTCCTTTTACTTCTTTTTCTGCCCTGATTGCTGTGGCCAACACTTCCAAAACTATGTTGAATAGGAGTGGTGAGAGTGGGCACCCTTGTCTTCTTCCTGATTTTAGGGGAAATGCTTTCAATTTTTCACCATTGAGGGTGATGCTTGCTGTGGGTTTGTCATATATAGCTTTTATTATGTTGAGGTATGTTCCTTCTATTCCTGCTTTCTGGAGAGTTTTAATCATAAATGGATATTGTTTTGATATTAATTAATTTTAATTGATATAACTAACATGAATTAATTAATTTTAATTATTAATAAAAATAATTTAATATTTAATATAGATATTAAAAGATCATTGACAAAGGTCATTTCTGTAATAATATGAATTTTTAAATTCCCTGTCAAACTGGTACTTTACCGACTATTTAATTTTGAGAAAAACATCACAGACTGTATAATATTATAATATTTAGTATAATAAAAATTTGATTATCTTTTTTCTTTTAAAATGGCCATATAAATAACTAATCGTAATTATTATTATTGAATAATTCTGATAGTGTTTTAAATTAAACTTAAAAGCATTAGTATAAAATTTAAATTAAATTTCTCTATGTAATGTGACATAATAGAAATATAAGCCATGTACAATATAAGAAAAAAGTGCAAACCATGAATATATGAGAATTTTATATTTTGTTTGGATATGAAGATGGTTTTACCAAAACATCTGCTACCACCTTAATCTACATTATCCTTTGATTAATACTTTTTCCTCTCTCTTTGTTCCATGCATCCTTTTTCACTAGCAGACATTTTACAAATATAGGAAAAAGTTTTCCTATAAGACTCTCTCAACATGGTACCTGGAGAGGGAAGATAGGGTACTCTGTCATCAGTGTATTTGTGTTAGTCATGCAAAACAAACACGTGAGAAAAGAAATGAACTTTCTCTTAATGCTTATTTTCAGATGCTAAATGGTAGAGTTCATAAGATAGAAATAGAACAGGACCCTGAAATACAGGTAGGATTAAATAGATCTGGAGTTGGGAAGCAGACATTCCTTGAGAAAGAAAGATTAGGAAGTTTCACTGAAATGATATTCAACATTCTGTGGTAAGACCGAGACGCTGTTGTCTTGTGTTAGCCTGCATGTACTACATCATAGATGGCAATAGTCCTGATAGAGTATGAAAGACAAAACTGAACATAATACAGTGCCTGCAACTTCTGAAGATGAGATTCCATATACTTCTCTAACAAAGGCCAAACTGTGAGAGAGACTGGGCTTATGAATGGAGAAAAGTAAAGTGATTTGGAGTAAAAGATGTGAAAAGAATCAGGCAGTTGCTAACACATATATATTTAGTTAGAATATTTTTTCTATCTCATATGTTTCAGTTAAACTGTATTTTATGTGAAATAAACATCTAATTAAATGGATTTGTCTTTAATTTATGCCCCTGAGATTGAGTTTTTCTCTCTTAAAATCAAGGTTTCCTTTGATATTCATGTACCATGAGATAATAACCTTGTACATGGAAACAATCTGAAAATTCAGCAGGCAAGAAGAGGGTCTGAATAAGCTTTGTAGGGAGATATGTCAATAGTAAAAATATATCAGTGCTTCAAGACAGAGTGATTTTAATTCTTTTCCTTTTTAAAATACTGTTCCACTAGGTGTATTACTTAACTACTCTGGGTCTGAGTTTCCTGATATGTTACTAATAAATGGTAGAGAGCAGGGGCTAATAGCAGTACTTAATTTTCTACTTGCTTGTGAGAATTGAGGTCATGAATATAACCCACATAGTATCTGGCAAATGTGAATATTCCATTCTTAACAGCTGATATTTTTTAACATCATTATTATTGTTGTTGTTCTACCTCATGTTCTAGGCATTATTTGTTTGCATGGGAAACAATCTTTCCTTGAATTTCTTGCTCCCTTTCAATTACATTTACTACAGCATTCACAGAGTAATCTTTCAAAATTATAAATCAAATCTTACTCACCAACTTAAAATCCTCTGGTTGCTCCTAATTTGCTTAGGGCAAACTATTGGATATTGGCCTCTACAATGTACATCACATACTTTAATTATCAACATTTGCAATACTCTATTGAAGTTGTCTGTATAATTATCTATATCTTATATCTACAAATATGTTACACACCCTGTATCTATATATAGTAGAATGTGCAACACATCAGATGCTCAAAAAATATTTGCTGAATTGATGAATATATTAGTAAATGGAGAGATTGTGGAAGCTAGAAAAGAGCTTAGAAAAGTATTTCTGGATTAATCTATGGGAAAACAAAAATAGAAACAACTGAGAAACATGCAGAGCTCCCCTGAGAGGTACCTGTGGTTTCTTATAACTTACAGGTACAGTGATTAGTCCTCTTGTATGTCTATTTTGAGCTGTGAGAAATGTATCCCTAGGCCCATATATTTTGTACTTTGCTTGAAATTTGTTCACTTAAACTGGTTGAAATTATATATGCTGCCTTGAAATAGCATATGCTGCTTAAATTTGGAAAATCATTATGATTAATGCCGTTTATCTTTTGAAGTGGTGTTATTCTAACACAAATGATATGGTAGAAGGAAGGCATACTTTTATCTTTGAATGAAATATTATGGTCAGATTTGCAGCCTCCTAAACTTAAGTAAGGTCAGCTACAG